TAATAAATAATTTTTTAAAAAAAGAAAATATACAAAAAAAAAAAAAAAAAGAATGAAATAGACTTTTTAAAGCTAATTAGAAGCTTGTCAGTTGGTTGCTAGGTGCACTTTGTTTTCCCCATAGAAGAAAAGAATATAAAATCTACAGAAATAAATAATTCCCCCTTACTGAGACTGGGCTGCGCTGTCTGCTCTCAGGGGTCCTGTGAGGAAGTCCCAGAGAAACTGCCTATTTGTAGGAACAGATTTTTTGTTTTGTTTTATTTTTATTTTTAATTTTTATAGAGTGGGGGTCTTGCTATGTTGCCCAGACTGGAGGGCAGTGGATATTCACAGGTGCGATCCCACTACTGACCAGCACAGGAGTTTTGATCTGCTCCGTTTCTGACCTGGGCTGGTTCACCCCTCTTTAGTTAACCTGGTGGTCCCTCGCTCCCGGGAGGTTACCATATTGATGCCAAACTTAGTGCGGACACCCGATCGGCATAGCGCACTACAGCCCAGAACTCCTGGGCTCAAGTGATCCTCCCACCTCAGCCTCCCGAGTAGCTGGGAATACAGGCACATGCCACTGCGCTGTAAGACCTCGTGAGGTGAGGTGGAGGCACTTCTGCGTTTTTTGTTTTTTTTTTTTTTCAGACAGAGTCTTGCTCTGTTGGCCAGGCGGGAGGCAGTGGTGCAGTCTTGGCTCACTGCAATCTTCGCCTGCTGTTCTCCTGTCTCAGCCTCTGGAGTAGCTGATATCACAGGTGTACACCACCATGCCTGGCTAATTTTTTTTTGGTGGGGGGGTAGAGACGAGGTTTCACCATGTTGGCCAGGCTGGTCTCGAACTTTTGACTTGAAGTGATCCACCCGCCTTGGCCTCTCAAAGTGCTGGGATTGCAGGCACGTGAGCCACCATACCTGGCCTTTTTAAATTTTTTTATTTTTTTTATTTTTTTGTGATCACAGCCTGTGAATTTGGGGACATCCTGTTTCAGAAGTGTCTGAGTCCAGTCTCTGCCCAGGAGGGAAGGCCATGGGGATAATGAAGCTCCCGAGTTGGGCAGTAGTTCAGGGCCTAGGAGAGCATGTTGAAAATAGTGGAGCCATGGCTGGGGTGTTTTGGAGATAAAAAGGGAGCCATTATTTCCTGGGCTGCCTAGAATGGTAAGCCCCTTCATCTCACATATAACCAAGAGTAGGCAAGAGTAGGGCAACCTTCTTTTTCTCTAACAACCTCCCCTCTTAGAAAATATAGCTAATAGAATCACCGGAAGCCCTTTTGTTCATTTGTTTAAGTTTTGAGAAAGTGAAGGAAGTTATTATATTGTTGATGTGTTAAGTGACATGAAGTTACTTAAGTTAGTTGCTCAAAGACAGCTTTTTTTTTTTTTTTTTTTTTTTGAGACAGAGTCTCTCTAGCTCAGGCTCAAGTGCAGTGGTATAATCTCACTCAGCTCACTGCAACCTCTGCCTCCCAAGCAATTCTCAGGCCTCAGCCTTCGAGTAGCTTGGTATTATAGGCATGTGCCACCATGCCTGGCTAATTTTTGTAGTTTTAGTAGAGGTGAGCCTTCACTGTGTTGGCCAGGCTAGTCTGAAACTCCTGACCTCAAGTGATCCATCCCCCTTGGCCTCCCAAAGTGCCATTACAGGCTTGAGCCACTATGCCTGGCCAAAGATAGCTTCTTAGTCTCACAGAATCTTAGATTCTTTTTGTTTGTTTGTTTAGATACAGGGTCTTGCACTGTTGCCCAGGCTGGAATGCAATGGCACGATCTCAGCTCACTGCAACCTCAGCTTCCTGAGTAGCTGAGACTACAGGCATGTACCATTATGCCTGGCTAATTTTTGTATTTTTGGTAGAGATAGGGTTTCACCACATTGTCCAGGCTGGTCTTGAACTCCTGGGCTCAAGGGATCCTCCTACCTCTGTCTCCCAAAGCATTGGGACTACAGGTGTGACCCCCACCCCTTAAATTTATATAAATAAAAACAGCTAATCTAGTGGGTTATAAGAAGCTTAAAAAGAATGAAATGGCATAAAATCTACAGAAATGAGAGAACACTGTATGTTAGATTAAATCATGTTTTGTGAAGCTTTTCTTCCATATGTGCGTATAGCATTATAATGGTGACGGCGTCAGAAATGGTTTGAGCGCCCAGCCCTGGAGAACCTTGTGCAGTGGACAGGGAGTCAGCATTGTTGGAAATAATGTGGATACAACCGAGTAACCATAGCAAGAGAATGTGTAAATAAAATACAAGAGACTGCTGTGATTGAGTCCCCTATGGCATTTTAGAACAACTCGTGAGGAGGAAGCCAGAAGTGTAATATCCATGTAAATAGACACCTATAAAATGAGACCTATGTCTTGGACACATGTGTAAAAGCTATTTCACAGTGGGTGGGAGAGTCGTGGCTATCTCTGGGGAAGGAAATTGAGATGACAGTCAAAGGGACTTCAGCAAAATCTGTGGCTTCAGGCAGGACTTCACCTCGTCAGCTGTCAGTACTCATTGGCCATAACTTTAGTGTTTGCATAGTTTTCTGTTCTTTTTCACAGCAGGTAGGCAGGTCCTCTAAAAAAAGACCAAATAAATCAAAATGTAGGACAGAGATTGTAGAACAATTCGACCAATAGCCAGTCCTAATACAGAAAACACGAAACCGTGACTTCCTGGGCAGCAGATACATGTAGTCCTGCTAGTGTATCATTTGGTGATGCGGAACCCCATGGGACAGCAGCGGAGCTGGCAGCCCCTGTCCTTGCAGCGTTTCCAGCCTGGGAGGTCCCTCTGGGTGACCCCTGCACTCCAGGCATAAGTGCTTTGCATGCAGTTTGGGGTTTCTTCTTCTCAGCAGCCACCTGAAGCAGGCACCGTGCCACCTGCATTTATGGATAAAGACACAGGCTTAGTGAGGCTGTCATTTGCCCACTAGCAGCACAGGACAGTGGAAGTGTGCAGGGATATTTGGGCAGGTTTCTTCAGGTCCTCTGCATTGCCTACCTGGATTGTAATGTGAATGCACACATAATTTTCTAAAGATTGAGCTGGGGATGTGTTAGCATAAAATAAAATGCAGAAATATTCTGCAAATGCCATTATAGGCAATAGTTTTGCACGTTTATCCATTAAATAGGTATGTATATATTTAAAAAGCAATTGGACTGTTATTTGGACTGTTGATAGCTCCGGAGGCAGGGAAAAGTTAGAGAAACTAAGGGAGAATGGGGCAGTTGGTGTTTTTCTCTTTCTGGGACTTATAGTGCGTCTAAAGTGTTCTCAGCTGTGGCTGTCGGCGTCTCCAGGTAGACCCTAGCGGAGGTATCCCCATGATTCTCTGTCTCACCCTTTCCTTCTCAGGAGTACTTCTTGCAAGCAGAGCTGACGAGCAATGTCTTAAAAACAGGCGTGGTGCGCTGCTGCGTGGGACAGTGCAACAATGCCATCCCTGTTGACACCGTCCTCACCATGAAGAAGCTGCCCATAACCTACGTATGTCTGCTGTCTGCGGAACTTAATTCAGCCATTTGCGTTTTTTGTTTGTGAGCTGTGTGCTTATCCAGGTTGTGGTGAGGAAGATAAGAGAGATCTGGTGGTCCTTTATTAGGGGCTTTTCACACAAGAGGCGCGAGAGGTGTGCGGTCAGCCCTGGGGTCAGCGGTCAGGGCACATGGTGCTGCCTGGCCATGCGGAAGCCGTAGGTCTGGGAGGCTAGGTTGTGCCACACGCTTAGCAGGGTAGCTGTTCCCCGGGATCCCCACGCAGCTTTTCTTGGTTCTTTTATCTTGAGTGGACAAATGGCTGTTTCTGCACTCAGGGAATTTGGCGGTGTTGAGCCCACCAAGATGGTGGTGCTGTGGGAGGTGTTACTCCGAGGGCGTGCGCCCCCTGAAAACAGAATCCGAATGTGTTGTCCCTGGGCAGCTGTGATGATAACTCCATGCTTTTGGCTGGAAAATCCTTGTTGTTTGGTTGTTCCCCTTAGCTCTCTTTCTTGTCCATCACCGCAGAGCAACAGGAAGGAAAACAAGGGGGGCTACCTCTGCCACTCCTGCGCGGAGCAGCGCATCGGGCCCCTGGCGTTCCTGACAGCGTCCCCGGAGCAGGTGCGCGCCATGGAGCGCACCGTGGAGAACATCGTGCTGCCGCGGCATGAGGCCCTGCTCTTCCTCGTCTTCTGAGGCCAAGGTGCACTCTCTGCAGTGCAGAGCAGCTTGCCAAGGACCCCAAGCAAAGAAAGCCAGCGAGGGGGCTCCTGCTCCCTGAGACTCTGGGTTCACCCACAGCACTTTCTGAGGAAGAGGAAACCAGCCCAGGCTGGACCTGCCATTTCTCCACTCCCTGCAGACAGCCAGTCTTCACTTGCCTCCCCTCCGTACACATCCGGTCGGGGAAGTGGGGGATGTTCTTTTGATAAAAAAACATTTTATGTATTTAAACTTTTATTACAAGATTTCAATTAAACAGGTACCATAGCACTGGTGCACCGCACGCGGCGTGATGTCTGGGTCAGCACTGTTGTTCTGGACTTTCTCGTTTTCCAGTGTACTCTTTCCAATAGCACTGTCACTGTTCACATGACATAGGAGGCAGAGTACGAGATGTGATGTCTTCGGTGGGAATTAGGGCATCAAAAATGAGACCTTCGCAGGGGACAGTGGCTCACGCCTGTGACCCAACACTGAATACCAGCCAAGGCAGGAGGATTGCTTGAGCCCAGAAGACTGAGGCTGTGGGTGACAGAGCAAGACCCTGTCTCCAAAA